ATCCCCCGCTCCAGCTCCACGCTCCGGGCAGTCCCCGCTCCTCGGGAGTTTCCCCTCTGCCTCTCGGGCTCAGCTCCGCCCGCCTCTCACCCGCTCCATCCCCGGGATCGGCTCCGCCCCGGGGCCGCCCCCTCCGCCGCCCCCCCGGGCATCCCCGGCTCGGCCTTGTAGGGACAAAACGGATCCTTCACATCCCAAACCCCGCTCGGGGGGAGCGAAACCTCACAGAAATCCCCCAAAAAACCCTTTTCCCCCTTTTTTTTTATCCTGCTTTTCCCCGAGGATGAGCCGCGGTCTCAGCGCGGGTTTTCCATCCCGGTCCTGCTCTTCCTCACGGGATCCGCGGAGGATTCCAAACCGGGAAAATCCTTCCCTGATTTCGGGATCCCGGACCGGGAAAATCCTTCCCTGATTTCAGGATCCCAGACCGGGAAAATCCTTTCCCGGTTTCAGAATTTCAGCCCCTCAAAACCTTTCCCCTCTCAGATTTCAGAATTCCGGCTCCGACTCCTTCCCAACCCCGCAAATCCTTCCCCAGTTTCAGGATCCCAGAAAATCCAGAATCCCAGAAAATGCAGAATCCCAGAAAAAAACAGTATCCCAGAAAACCCAGAATCTCAGAAAATCCTTCCCCAGTTTCAGGATCCCCGATCAGGAAAATCCTCCCTCGGTTTCAGAATCCCAGAAAATCCAGAGTCCCAGAAAATCCAGAATTCCAGAAAAAACAGAACCCCAGAAAATGCAGAATCCCAGAAAATCCTTCCCCGATTTCAGAATTCCCGATCAGAAAATCCTTCCCTGGTTTCAGAATTCCCAGAAAACCCAGAATTCCCATAAAATCCTCTCCCGGTTCAGAATCCCAGCTCTGCTCTGCTCTTCTCCCCGCTGAGCCGCGATTCCTTCCCCGGAGGAGTTTCCAGTGACTCCGAGAGGAGGAGGAGGGAAAATATAAATAAAGGGGAAAAAAAAATAAAAAGAGGAGGAGGAGGAGGAGGAGGAGGAGGGAAAAAATAAA